CCATTTAGTTGCTAAAATGTTGCAGAATTTTCTATTTTTAACGGTTGTTTTTAAGAGGTTTCTGGGGACCTGAAAGATGGGGCCCTACAATTATGGGCCAAGGTTTTTCAGTTTATGGGGGCCCAAGAACTACCCTTTAGGGCTTGGGGAAGTAGAACCAGAGTGAATAGAGGAAAGTGTGGACTTAACAATACAAGCAAATGTAACTAACAATACAAATGTATTAATAACAAAAATTAACAACAAAAATGACTACCAGAGAACCTAACAAAAAATAAACCTGATGCACTGGGGACCAAAGTTTTTTTGGACACAAGTGGTGATTGAAAAATTGGATGGACATGGGGGGAAGTAGAGAGAGGAAAAGACATTTGCCCTGTCTAGTGTAGTATTCCCTCTTTTTCTGGACCCAATGCTAGCACAGGACACCACTAGAGACAGACACAGAACATGCAACACTGAACACAGACTTTGTTACAACACTATAACCATGGTATTTTATAACTCTTCAGCTGGTACCAGCTCTTCTGATGTTCTGGTTTAGATCCTGAAAGATAGAAGCTTGGAAACAAATTAGCACAGTGCTCCCACCATGGCAAAACCTGCTTAGTTTTTGCCACAGTGTGTTTGGTACTTGGGGCTGCACACATGCTAATTAAGTGGTGCATTTTTTTTTTTTTTACATTGCTGTTTTTACATAGCTGTACATAGATTATATTTTCTTTATACATTTTGGGTCAGTTAAGTTGCAATAGAACCCCCTTATGTTTTTAACAAATTTGACTAAATTGTTCATAATCAAATGATTTTAAATACCTGGATTATTTACAGACATTTGGAAAAGGGCCCATTTTTTCTTCAGAATGGCTACAAAGAAACCAAGAATTCCTTTTTTTTTTTTAACATGGTACTTTTTAACATTTTTACAAAGTTTAACTGCTTAATTTTCTTCAGCCTCTGTAGAGTTAACTTTTCAGGGTCTTTTTTTTTTTTAATTACTGTTTATTTTCCAAAATGACACCTTTATTAATTAGATTTTACCATTTTAAGCATTGTACCAGCATTTGAATTTCCCATGCCTATACTTACTTACTCTTTTCTGCCACTATGCCCTTAGGGCTTTCAACCTGTTTTTCAGTTTCTCTATCTGTTGCTTGCCTGGGCCCGATTTTGCTTTTTTTAATGAACCTTTTTTTTTTTTCATGGGCACAAGCTTTGTTCCACTACCAATTTAGCAAGGAGGGTGGGCTTCTTAACCAGCCCCCACCCTTCCTGGTCCCTTTCCTTAAACATTTTTTTCAAAATTGTGAAATGACCACAATATCACTCACCAAAAAAACAAAACAAAAAAAAACAAACCACACTACACTGACCAAACTTCTATATTTTTCAGAGTTTGGTTTAACAGAACAAGATCTGTATCTTACGTTTTTAACCCACTTTGGGCCAGAGGGAGAGATGCTAAGCTTCCCTCTGTATTGCTCAACCTTCTACCACCGAGGGCTCATACACCAAAAATAAAAACCCTTTCCGGGGCAGAGCGAGAAACCCTAAGTTCTCCTCTTATGCTCAGCCATGCTACGACTGAGGGTGTATGCACCTTTTTTTGAACATTTTTAAATCTGTTTAGCGAGCAGCACTGTCTGGTCCCTGGGACCCTCTTGCTGCCCCTGATTTGATTTTTTTCTCTTTTTCTGCTACCTCTCTGGAGGTCAGCAGGTTTTGGTTAACCAAGAAGAGAACCATACTCTGTAGAGCCGGTTGTGTGCACACAGATTGGTTTACAATAAGTGAGGCACAAATACCAATAATCCCCCTTTCGCTATTCTCCACCAAAATGTTATACCAATAAAAACTAGCAGGATCTTATTAAAGGGGACAAGATAAAGATGCCACATTTATTATGATAATTTGATTTATGACCAATAACTAATATCTTAATCCTTATACACACACATTATACCTAAGGCCTGGTCCCTACTAAGCCCCCACTTCAGACTAAGGTACTTCGAATTTGCGTACCTTAGTCTGAACTTACCGCGGGTCCAGACGCGGCAGGGAGGCTCCCCCGTCGATGCCGCATACTCCTCTCGCCGAGCTGGAGTACCAGCGTCAACGGCGAGCACTTCCGGGATTGATCCGGGATCAATTTATCGCGTCTAAACCAGACGCGATAAATCAATCCCAGAACATCGATTGCCTGCCACTGGACCCTCCGGTAAGTGTAGACGTACCCTAATACCTAT